CCTATACGATGTCAGTATATCTAATTACCTATACACTGTCAGTATATCTAATTACCTATACACTGTCAGTATATCTAATTACCTATACAATGTCAGCATATCTAGTTACCTATACAATGTCAGTATATCTAATTACCTATACAATGTCAGCATATCTAGTTACCTATACAATGTCAGTATATCTAATTACCTATACAATGTCAGCATATCTAGTTACCTATACAATGTCAGTATATCTAATTACCTATACAATGTCAGTATATCTAATTACCTATACAATGTCAGTATATCTAATTACATATACACTCTCAGTACTGTTAATTATCTGCACATGCAAATATATCTAATTGTCTACACACTGTCAGTATGCCTAATTGCCTGAATCTTTAATTACCTGTAAATAGCCATCATTTTTACTCTTCTGCAAAACGATAAATATAATATGTATAGGTTAGTATTCCTAATGACGTACACGTGATTAGTTTTCCACTAACCTGTATACTGCTAGTATGTCTAATAATATGTATAGGTTAGTATTCCTAATGACGTATACATGATTAGTTTTCCAAATACTAACCTATACATATTAATAGAAATACTAGCAGCATACAGGTTAGTGGAAAACTAATCATGTGTACGTCATTAGGAATACTAACCTATACATATTAATGGAAATACTAGCAGCATACAGGTTACTGGAAAACTAATCATGTATATGTCATTAGGAATACTAACCTATACATATTAATGGAAATAGTAGCAGCATACTGGTTACTGGAAAACTAATCATGTGTACGTCATTAGGAATACTAACCTATACATATTAATGGAAATACTAGCAGCATACAGGTTACTGGAAAACTAATCATGTATACGTCATTAGGAATACTAACCTATACATATTATTAGACATACTAGCAGCATACAGGTTACATACAGGTTACTGGAAAACTAATCATGTATACGTCATTAGGACTGCTAGTATGTCTAATAATATGTATAGGTTAGTATTCCTAATGACGTATACATGATTAGTCTTCCAGTAACCTGTATACTGCTAGTATTTCTATTAATATGTAAAGGTTAGTATTCCTAATGACGTATACATGATTAGTTTTCCAGTAACCTGTATACTGCTAGTATTACTATTAATATGTAAAGGTTAGTATTCCTAATGACGTATACATGATTAGTTTTCCACTAACTTATATATTGCTAGTAAGATTCTAACTTGAGAATGTATTACAGGTTATTAATAATACTAGCAATATATAAGCTAGTGGAAAACTAATATTGTATACGTCATAAAGAATATTAATCTTTACATATTAATAGTAACTAATGACCCATACGTGAATAGCATAACGTTGTCTCTCCTCTACTTTATATATAACTGCTACTTCTAATAGTGAGTACACTACTTGTATATTACACAACACGTATTTCTCTATAACTTATTAGGTGTACATAACTGTTATATCTTATACACTGATAGTATTTATAGCAGTAGATGAATGGGTATTATTATAGATAACCTGTTCACAGCGGTTACTTCAAAAACCAAATGTACATATAGCTTTGGTAATAACGCATGCGTATCCATCTTAACCTCAATATTTTTAGTAATCGTAATAGCATGTAACGTCCAAGTGATGTGGAATGTCATTGTGGATACATTGCCACTATTTTTAAATTGGGTTTTAACAATGGTGAAGCAGGCTACCGTTCACAACTTGGGTTAAATTAGAAAGAGAACGTGGCACAAAATAAACGATAACCAGTGGATATTGCCTTAGTAAGTGTGTAGTCCTTCCCAAACAATGAAATTAAACAGACATCGAAGTACGATCTAAATCCGAGATTAAAGAGAAAATGGGCAGGTGTGTCGTTTTTCGGAGATGGAGCTTTCTCTTGTGTAAGGAGCTTAGATATCGAAAGCGAAATATCTGGGGGGGGGGGGAGGAGTTGGAGGTTAATCAAACTGCTTAGAAGTTTCCTACTGGAGAGTAGGAGGCCGGACTTATTTTGTTGCATGGCCGAGATAAGATGAAAACCAGAATATACATTAATGTGAAAATAAACTATTTAAGCACTATAGGCCGGACTTATTTTGTTGCATGGCCGAGATAAGATGAAAACCAGAGTATACATTAATTTGAAAATAAACTATTCAAGCACTATAGGCCGGACCTATTTTGTTGCATGGCCAAGATAAGATGAAAACCAGAGGATAAATTAATGTGAAAATAAACTATTTAAGAACTATAGGCCGGACCTATTTTGTTGCATGGCCAAGATAAGATGAAAACCAGAGGATAAATTAATGTGAAAATAAACTATTTAAGCACTATA